GGCTTGCTGGACCACGGATTGCGGGATGGGGTCTTCGGCCCAAGGGAAACCCAGGGTTTGGGACAGGTTGGCGGGCCGGAAGTCGATGTTGGGGGTTGCTTGCCAGCCCGTGGCGCAGATGAGGGTGTCGGAGGGGAGGGGGCCGGCGGAGGCCAGGTGAACGGTCTGGGGGGTGAGATGGGTGATGTGGTCGATGTGGATGCGGACCTTGCCCTCGGTGACCAGGTCGAAGAAGTTGGTCGGGTAGTTGAGGATGCTGAGCCCCGAGGCGACCCAGAACGGGCTGACCCAGGGCTTCAGCTTGCGGGTTTCCGGGTGTGCGTCGAATTTGTTGAGTGTGATCACGTCGTTGCCTAGGATGCCCCAGAAGGTGTCGACGATCTTGCGGCCCAGCCAGGTGCCGTGCAGGAAGTTGCGGATCGCGCTGCACCCGTCGGCGTCGCCCCAGATGCACGGGCTGAACCAGGTGAGGAGCCGCGTGGTGACCAGCTTCTCGAGCCATTTCTTCAGCGGCGTCACGTAGGGCGGGGCCATCCAGACGGGGCCGTGGCCGTTGTCGCGGATGATCCAGTCGACGTGGGCGCCGGCGGTGGCGGCAGCATAGACGGCGTCCCAGGCAGATTTGGTGCCGCCGAAGACGGTGATGCGCTTGGTGGGTTGGAGGACGGCGTCTTGGTGCTGGGGCAGGTCGCGACAGTGGAAGAGCGGCGCGTCGAAGGTGTCCTGGCCAGCGATGGTGGGCAGGTAGGGCTGGGAGGTGATGCCGGTGCAGACGATGAGCTTCTTGCTCACGACGGTCTTCTCGCCGTCGGGGCCATCGATGGTCAGGGTCCAGGTTCCGTCGGCGTTATGTTCCGCGATGCGCACGCGGGTGTTCAGGCGGACGAACGGCGTCAGCTGGAAGTGCTCGAGGAAGCGCTCCATGTACGTCTGGATCACGGTGCCCGGGATATGCTGGCCCGGCTGGACGCCGAACGAGGCGTCCATGGGGAAGTCGCTGAACTCGTAGGTGCCCAGCATGTTGTTGGATTTGAGGCCAGCATACAGGCGGTGCTTGGCCCAGACGCCGCCGACCGAAGCCGCGCTCTCGAACAACACGATCGAGGCGGAGGGGTCGACCTGGTGGTAGGTCTTGAGGGCGGCGAGGCCACTCCATCCTGGCGATGTGATGTGAGTTGGTGTTTTGCGACGTATCAATTCCGACGTGTGGACATACCCGCTCCGATGACTGTCACGTCAACAGTCTCCATGATGATGCAGTCACAGGGACATTCACTGCAATTGTTGCAGGATTAGTTTCAGGAGATTTTTCGCTGGACACAACTCCCCGCAATGGCCACGGAGGGAATTTAAAGAGCAGCGAGGGGAAGCTCGGGTGGAGTGACACTGCCAGAAGTAGAACCGACTGGTTGTATACTCCGTGGTAGCGTGTCGATCGCGGAATTCCTCTCATTCCCCGGGGACCCAAAAAAAAAGAAAAGAAAAAGAGAAAAAGAAAGAAAGAAAAAAAACGGTCGACGGCCGGGATATGCGTCCGATTGCTGAAAAAAATGGCGACATTGCTAAGAAAAGAGTTTTTTAATGAGGACGCACGGAGACTCGACAATTAGGAAAATTAGAAGAAGCGTGGTTGCATCGCGCCAGCCGTTAACTTCGGCCTAACGCCTGGCTAAAGCGGCGTCGGGGTTCAAAAGAGGGAAGACTACGAGCTTGGCCAGGATAATCGGTGGAGCAGGGGACGCTTGACAGCTAATAATTGGGAATTCTCCCGCTGTCGTCGTTTCAGGTGGACCCCGGTGGTCTCTTCGTCTTAGTCGGACTTAGTCTGACTTTAGTATTTATTAAGGTGGAGCTTGTTATTCTTCACCCGGTTGACAGCCCAAGATCCACGCTGGATGTATGCACGAAACAATTTGTGGTAGACTTTCTATCCAAAGTCAAAGCTGATACATGTTCATGCGAGATGGAGGGTATCACATTCGATTGGCCTCCATGTCTGCTATCAATCCAACAAGGGAGATCGCCAGCGAATGCATCACAAACCCTAACGTTTCCTTGCAGGACGAGCTGTGGTCCGAGCAGGCAACTAACCCGGTAGTGCTTGAGCGATAGCAATATCGCCACATGAAAATACTCCGGATCAATAATAATAGGCAGGGTAATCTCGGCTCCCGCAGCGAACGATCCACTGATAGTCCATGGTCAAACATCGGAGCCTCCACGATTGCCCGAACTGGTAAGCCCAAGGTCATTCATCAGGAGAAATAATGGAGACAGGCGCATCGGACAAGCGTTTGGCGTCCCGCTACCATCCTGCAACGGTCATCCAGACCCAACCTTTCGGGCCATGTGGTTGCTTGGCCGGGGATTGCTTTCGACCGGCTTTCCCCCTGGATAGATACATCGATCTTCCGTCCTCCGGCCTGCTCACAATCCAGTTATAAAACTACTTTTATACCCATAGATCAGCCTATTGCCTCCCTTGATCTCCCCCCCCCCCTCTTCGTATGATCTGAGTGCCGCACAGACGTCCAGACTGCCACCATGGCTAGTGACGACTTTACCATCGAGGCCTTCACGCTCCTCGCCCTCGCCATTGTTGCCATCGGCATCCGCATCGCCGCACGATGGATCACTGCTGGACCGAGGAATTTCCAGCTCGATGACTTTCTAATGCCCTTAGCGGGGGTATGCCACCCCTCCACCAGAACACCGGCCAAGGTACTCATCAGACAAAACAGGTGGTCTACGGGCTGGAAACGGGCGCCGCCTACTGCGTGGGCGCGTGGTGGATGGGTATGGCCAACAACGCCATGACCGACGAGCAACGAGCCTCGCTGTCGCCCACTTCGGAAGAATACCGTCTACGTGTGGGTGGCTCCAAGACCCAGGTTCTGGGATGGTCGCTGTATACCACCCTGCTGTGGTTGTTGAAGGCCTGCATGGCGATTTTCTACTCACGATTGACGTACGCTACTTTCCCATCCTCCACATCACTCGGATAGCAAAGGAACTGAAATAGTAGCTAATCAATGGAACTCTAGATCCGGCCTGGTCAACATGCATCGTCGTGTACAGATCGCCTACGTCCTCATCGGAGCCACCTACATCGCCGTCATCTGCTCGATTCTCTTCGGCTGCCATCCCATGCATAAGAACTGGCAGATATACCCGGACCCGGGCAATTATTGCCAGCCGGCGGTGTCGCGCATCGACGTCTACGTGACTGTTACGTTGAACGTCGCGACAGACGTGTACTTGATTTCGATCCCAACCCCGGTATGCCTTTCCCACTACAAATACTCCACACACCAAGCTAACATACCATCCCAAAGATGCTCTTCAAAGCTCGTCTCCCCTGGCGTGAGAAACTCGAACTCCTCGTGCTCTTCAGCGGCGGAATCTTCGTCATGGCCGCGGGCATCCTGCGCTGCGTGTTAATCGTCACGGTACATCCCCTCCCCAACCCACTCAATGCCATTGGCCAAAAACTAATAGAGATCTGAAAAAAAAGGCCGGCGCAAACGGCGCCCAACAAGCCGGCAGCTGGGCCTGCCGCGAGACCTTCGTAGCCGTGATCATCGGCAACGCGCCCATGATCTATCCACTCTGTCGCCGCATCGCGCGCCGCGCAGGCTGGTACATCAGCACCAAAGGCGTCAGCGCAAACAGCTACCCGCTGACGGACAGCGAGCTACCGGGAGCTCCAAACTCGAAGGGCACCATGCTCAGCAGTAACCGGAAACGGAGGTTTCGACATCCGCTGTCGCTGCCGGATACGCAGTATCATGATGAGCAGACGATCCTGCCGAGGACGGAGGCGACGATCTGCGAGGCCGGGACGTGGGATGAGGATAGCCGGGGCAGTCAGGAGGGGATTAAGGTTGTCCGGGAGACGATCGTGAGGAGTAGTAAATAGCTTTTCCTTCTTTTGTTTTCTTTCCTTTCTTTCATTTGTTTTTTTTCTATGATATATATAGGGATACCTCGTGGATACACAACATATGTACTGTACAAAGACTTAGACAAGCGTGAATGATAAAAAGCTCATGACATAGATTACCACACAACAATCCACAAAATCATCACCTCATATCCTAAAATAAAATAGAATAGATAATAAAATAGAGAAATAGAACGAAGGAAGAACCAGTGGGTCACCACTACCCCTAAATAAATGAATTTAATATCCCTCCCGTTCCAAGAATCCACTTCGTAATAACCTTATACGAAAGAGACCCAGACCCAGGCCCAAGAGCCAGGAACCACACCTCGTATAAAGTGCTTACTTCGAGCAATAAACTTAAGTAAAATGAAAAGTAAAGCTAAATGAAATGAATTAAACCTCCTTCTGGATCGCCGCGGCTCCGTCGCTAGCCACAAAGACCTCGTCCTTTTTCAGCGACGCTTTCACCGGGCTCTTGGCCTGGAAGATCGCCGTCAGCTCCTCCAGCGTGCGCTTGCTGGTCTCGACGAACAGGAACCAGATGATGATGAACTCGAACGCGTCCCAGAAGATGAACAGGAAGTAGTATTTCCAGCCGGCGCCGGTGAAGGCGATGCCGGTGACGAAGGTGTTGTAGAAGGAGGCGATGTTGACGAAGAACTAGACTTTGTTAGTTTCTTTTTCTCTTTCTTTCTTTCTTTTTTTTTTT